CCGGAGTACCTGGAGAAAATCCATTCAAGCACGAGGAGAACATGCGCACTCTGCAAAGAATGACCTCAGGTCCAAACTGGGAATTGAACCCAGGACTTTCTTGCTGTGAGACGTCTGTGCTAACCACTGAGCCATCTTGCTGCCAAAAACAACAATAAGTTGTGACCAGYCTTTAGCTTGTTTGTTGCTCATTTTTCACCATAATCACAAAATGTCAGCTCGATATTTCTTAAAAAAATTTAATTAAAACCACTTTGAATTAGCTGTGGTGGCCATCTTGAAATTTCAAATCCAGAGTGTTTTTCTTTATTTGTATATAACCCCTAAAAAAAACACATTGGCCACCCCTTGCAAAAAAAAATAAAAAAAGCCTACCTCTGCCCCTGCTTTCTTGTTTCCTTTCTTACTTTCTTTTCTCACTCAAAGCAGTGTTGCAGTTTGAAGCGTTGCTTGGAAATACTCCCTGGTGCTTTTACAAGGGGAAACAGTGTGGTGTTCTTGCTTAGAGAGGCTTTCTGGTATTGTAGCTGACTGTGCTTCCATTGCTCACTCACTACTTCCACACAGCAAACGTTTACACACCAGAAACACACCTTTTCCCCTCAGCGCCCTCCTTTGGCCGCTCTTTTTCCATCTATACATATATATATGTCATTTTGGATATATGGTACCCCTGTGCCACTATGGAAAAACACTATTGTGCAGTTTTTTTCACATCTCACTCTCTGTTCTTTGGATTAACCCTCATTTAACTTTTACAGCTGCATCTCTCCTGCTTTAAATCATGGGAGGTTTAGGCTCTTTGTGCAGAGACACAATCATCAAATCTTTGCTTACTGCAGGGGAACAGGTACCAGCATCACTCCACAGCTAAGTAACAGCTAAGTGAGACCATATTAACACAATATAGTAGCACAAATTGCTGGTTAGGATTGGCTTTTGCAGGCTGCCTCACACATGCATGTGCACACATGTATACACAGAGTTCCCACATCAAAATGTTCAGTCACTTACTGCTCAACTAGCTAGCCATTTTTCATATCTGTCATGCTACACACATTCCCCTTCTGCCTCCAATTTTTTTTCTCCCCATATTTGGAGCCTGTGCTCAGTTTTGCATAGCTGGGCCTTTTCCCTGGGTACTGTCTTTTCATCAGTGTCTGGCTTTCTTTTTGAATTGAACCAGATCAGTTTACGGCCAGACAGAGATACCGTCGCTGCGCGTGATGGAGAAGCCGGTCAGGAGAGCAAGCATGTTTGTGTTTCATGATGGCCATCACTGGTTCATACGTCCAACCTCCAGCTCTTTTTAACAGATGTTACACTGACAACCATGACTTCACCCTGCTTTGGTCTCAAACAAATGGTGGTCTAGTTTGAAACACTGAAGCTATTAGGTTAGATCGTGTCGTCGTTCATGTTGTACGTCTTTTTATGAAAGGATCTTTAACAAAATCATGAAAGCTTTTGTTTGTTTTTTCCTAAGACTACACATTCAGCAAAACTCGTGTTGGTTTGTATTTGATGCATCATTTAGTTCTTCCTTGAGATTTCTAGCATGCAGTCTGTAATTTTTTTTGTATTCACCAAGCATAGTAACAATACAGCTCAGTTTATGCGCCACAAGGCACATGTGTTTGTGTGTGTCCAGGCAGACGGCAGAAAATGACTCCAGATCGCTATCTTTCTGCATTTAAGTCTAGAACGCTCTGATTAAACACAACCATGGGACAATTTGCTTGTTGTAGGGCCTCCGATTAAACCACTGATTTTCAGAACTGTTGTTTTTTTTTTTCTTGCCATGGCAACGCTGATTACATTATTATCAGCATCTCCTTTTGTTGTTACCCTGATACCGGGGAAAAAAAATAGAAGGGGAGTGCTTTTTTATTTAATGGTTTTCGGTTTTCTTGCTTATTCTCACAAACAATTTCATATTGTGGGAAATTGACTTTCATTTGCATGTTTAAATGCCACGCCTACGTCATGTCTTACTTCTCTGTGACTGGTGGCGAGCATGAGATATCATCTTTACCTTCAACACCATCTGACCTGTTGCACATGTGTTTAGAGTACAGTAACAGCTCCTTCAGTTGCAAACAGATGTGTGTTTGTGTGAAAGCCTGCATCTGCATTCATA